AGCACATGAAAAAAACTCTCAACATTACTAGTCATTAAGAAAATGGCAATCAAAACCACAATGAGATATGAACTTATATACACTAGGATAGCTGTAATAAAAAATTGGAAAATAACACATATTGGTGAGGATGTAGAAAAACTATCCTCATACACTGCTAGTGGGAATGCAAACTGATTCAGTCATAGTGGAAAACAGTTGTCAATTCCTCAAATAATTAAACATAGAATTACCATATGATATGGCAATTCTACTCCTGGATGTACACAAAACAAATGAAAACAAGCCAGGCACAATGGCACATACCTGTAATCCTAGCCGTTTGGAAGGCTAAGGCAGGAGCATTGCAAGTTCAAGCCTAGACTGGGCAACTTAGCCAGATCCTGTCTCACAATGAAAACAAAAAAGGACTGGGATATAGCTCAGTTGTAGAGCAACCCTGGGTTAAACCCCAGTACCACAAACAAACAAAAAAAGAATTGAAAACAAGTGTTCAAGCAAACTAATTATGACAGAATACTTTAAAATACTCAAGGGGAAAAAATACCTCAGCCATGCACACTGGTGCAATGCCTGTTGCTATTTTATTGAGACCCTCTCTCAAAATTAAAATAAAAGGGCTGAGGGTTGTAGCTTGATAATAGAACACACCTGGGTTAATCCCCAGCAGCAGAAAAACAAGTCTTGTAGATGAAACAAGACTAACAAAATTGCCAAAGTATGGTAGGTGATGGACACTTGGGGGCCCATTTTACTACTATTTCAATTTTTCTATAGATTTGATAATTACAATAATGAACTTTAGAAAGAACTCCTGAGTAACATTAACATTTTAATGACACTAAAAACAAAACTTATTTCTAATTATTAAGTACTTAACATTAAAAATTATCTATCCTTCAAACATTCATTTTAATTCAAAAAATGGCAAGGGTATTTCTATATAATGATAGCTATTTTTATAAAAACTCTCCCAATTGTGTTTCCATAATAGATATCTTTACCTCTTCTACATAATAGATATCTTTATCTCTTCCACAGAATGCCCCTCCTGGCTTTCACTGAAACAATTTCCCTGTTCCTTATTTCAAGCTTCTCAACTAATTCTACCTCTAATTGAACACCTTGGCAGTAAATCAATCTAATTTGTCTTTTTTGCTCTGTATGTTACTTAGAGACTATTGTTCATTCATTTACCCATCAGATAAAGATTTACTAAATGTCTACAATATGCCAAGCACTGAGTAAACTCCTGAATACTCAGAGATAAAAATACTGGTTTCAACCTCAGGAAGCTTATCAGAGAAGAAGCAAGTCTAATATACAATAATATTTGTAAAAGGAATCTATTTGTAAAAGGTAATAAAAGCACACAAGAAGTATAACCTAAAAGCATCCAGAGTAGTCCCTTTCCTCACTGAAATTTTCTCTTTCCTTTCAACCAAAACACTATTCTCTCCTCTTTGAAAATATTGCTTAAAAGTTAGCTCTATGTTAGCTAGGTGTGTTGGCACATGTCTGAAATCCCAGCAATTTGGGAGGCTGAGGCAGGAGGATTGCAAGTTAAAGGCCAGCCTCAGCAATCTAGCAAGGAAGGCCCTAAGCAACTTAGTGAGACCCTGTCTCAAACTAAAAAATAAAGAGGGCTCAGTGGTTAAGCAACCCTGGGTTCAATCCCCAGTACCAAAAAGTTAAAAAAAAAAAAAAAAAAAGTAATGTCTTCCTCCCAAAAAAGTATACTTGTTCCCAAATACCATGAATCTTAAAGAAAATCAACCAGATCTGTGAAACTCAATAGCAAATAATAAAGAAAGACTGCTCCACAAAAGTACAAAACACAGAAGATACTTAAATTCTGTCTTGATTGTGCCAAGCTCTGATTTTGTCTATTCACTCGCTTTATGTGTCATTTGCATTTTAATCTATTTCTTTCTTGAAATTGTGCATCTTTCAAAAACAAAGGCTTTATAATATTCACAGTGGCTTGATAGACATTCCTAGATATAACCATCTGGTTAGAAGGTGAGGATGGGCAAAGAGGGGGAACTCCTGCAGACTTCTCTTTTTAATTTGAATTCCAATTGCTGACTAGTGCCAGATAATCAAATACAAAAGTTAAGTTTCCTTAACTTTAACTTAATGCAACCAAATGGAAAAAAAAAAGCCTCTTCTAATGTATATTTAAAACTGGAATGGTATTTTGAAAAGAAAACCTCAGAAATGACAATATTATCTCCAGCAACCTCAGAGAATTGGAAGGAAAAAGTAAACTGCAAATAAGTTTTGGATGAATAATGTTCTAAGAAACCAGGCAATTCCCAAAAGAGACATTAGTTATATACAAATTCTGTCTCCTAAAAGAAAAATACAGATCTTGAACAACAAAAACAAACAAACAAACAAAAAAGCAGAGAACTATTTGAGAACAGAAAATACAAAGGCATGGAACCAAATACATAAGACATGAAACCTGACTGAACCTGGATCAAAAAACAAAAAACAAAACAAAAAAAAAAAAGTTCAGGAACAAATGGAGAGACCTGAATACGGATCATTATGTTAAACATTGCTATGGTTTGAAGGTATATGTCTCTCTAAAGTCAAATGTTAGACTTTAATCCTGATGGCAACATGGTAAGAGGTAAAGCCCTTGGGAGGTGAAACCATAACCACTCAACTCTCATGGATAGGATTAATGTTCTTATAAGAGACTCCAGAGAACAACCTCCCTACTTCCATCCTTCTGCTATGTGAGAACACCTAGACAAAGCCATCTACAAGGAGCAGATCTTCACCAAACACCAAGCCTTCCAGCACGCTGACCTAGGATTTCCCAGCCTCAGAACTATGAGAAATAAATTCTGTTGTTTATAAAATACCCAGTCTGAAGTATTTTGTTATAGCAGCACAAATAGACTGATAAAATATTCTCAAATTAATGTTAATTTCTTATATGTGATATAAGTATTATGATTATGCAGGAAATAAGCCACAGTATCAATGGTTTTAAAAATACATAATTACATATAAGTGAAAATGTGGCAAAACATTAATAGAGTGAATTGAGATGAAAAGCAATGTGGGTGTTCACTGTCTTATATTTTCAATTTTTCTATAGCAGTGAACATTGTTAAAAAAAATTGTTGAAAGGGAGGGAAGATAAAAAGCATGAGAGGAGGACAGCTTGACTGAAGCATGAAGAGTATAAGCAGCACTAGTCTCCAAAATCGTGAGAAGCAGCTGTGTGATCTTGGGCCAGTCACGAAACCTCTCTAGGTTCCAGGTGAAAGACAGGAAGTACATGATCTCAAAGATTCTTTCCAGCTATTAGACTCCATTATTCTGTTACTACCTCTCAGCTCTAAAACTCAAAAGATAACCAAATGCAAAATAGAAAAACTCACAGGACTAAGGATCAAATGAAGGCTTAAAAACAGTTAGCCAAATGCCTCTCACATAAAGCACAAAAAACAAATATTAACTCCCCTCTTTTGAGAAAACATCATAAAAATTCTTCTGAGAAGAAACAGAAGGTAGCTAAGATTATTAATTTGAAGAAACAAGTAACACAGAGTTAGAAAGATGTAATAGCTACCCAATTTCAGTTTTCATCTAAACTAAATATAAATATGCCAGTGAGCCACAAAACCAAAAAGATAATGAACCTAAGAGTTTAGACAAGATATACACTTTCAAGTGACCTTAATATGATAGACATTTAATGACAGGATGTTGGAAAATCTCCAAAATAAAATTAACAGCCAGAGCTTGGGTTATCAGCCTGGGAAGATTTCAGACTGGTTAAAAGAATTATCTATTTTTAAAAGACAGCGAGGGAGAGAAAACTTAATACTCAATGAAAAGTACAGACAAGTAATTTCAGAAACATTTTAGAAAACTGTTTCCCATAGAATTTGTTATTTTACCAAAAGGGATTTAATTATAATGCTAGAAACAACATTAGTGCTGGAAATAAAGCATCTGACAAAACTGTAATACATACTAGTTAATACTTTAATACTTTGTTTTCTCTTTTTCCCTGAAATTGAATTTTATATGACTTTTAATTAATTATGAGTTCAAGTCCATGTGACTTCAGTCTTTCTGGAAATACAGAAATACAGAAACCAAAAAGAAGAACAAGTGTTCAACAAGAAATATATATATCTTATATAATGTACACTGAGTTTCGTGCCAGGCAGTTAAAAACATAAGACCATGGAAACACAGGGTGAAGGCGCACTATAGATTCTGCTAATTGTAAATACTAGTTTAAAAATAATAATTATGTGTTATGGTTTAGATCTTAGGTGTCCCCAAAAGCTTTGTGTGAGACAATGCAACAAAGAGGTGAAATGACTATGTTGATACTTAACCTAATCAGTGTGAAACCCTGATAGGGACTAATTGAGTGGTGACTAGTGGCAGGTGGGGTGTGGCTGGAGGAGGTGAGTCACTGGGGGTATTCCTTTGGAGGAGGAGATATATATATATATTTTGCAATTTAATTATTTCCAGAATTTTCTATCTAATATTTCTGGATCATGGTTGACTACAAGTAATTGAATGAAGCTCTCTCTCAGCTTCCTGCTGCCGTGTTCCCCACTCTTTCCTCTGCCCATTCTTCTTCCATGATGTTCTGCATCACCTCAAGTCCCAAGGAATAGAGCCAGCCTTCTATGGACTGAGACTTTTGAAACCCTGAACCCCAAAATAAACTTTTCTTCCTCTAATTGTTTTTGTCAGGTCTTTTGGTCACACTAATGAAAAGGCTGGCTAAAACACTGTGTCACAAATGAGATAAAATTCATTAATATAAATGGCAAGCAAAAAAAAAAACACAAATGCAAAATGATATTAATCTGCCTAGGTAGAATAATCTAACATAAAGAAAAGGACAAATCTAACATAAAATTCAGACAAGTCAAAATTGTTATTCAGTTTCAAGGATCAAAAAGAATCTATTCAATAATTCGTTAAGAACTATAAAGTAATCCTACCTTACTACTACTCATTGCTGGTCGTGTCTTAGTTAAAGTAGTAGATCCATGTTGAGGTATTAAGATTAAGAACAAGGAAGACACGAGAAAACATTCAGGGAAGCCTCACGGGAATGATCATAGGTCTAGCCAAAGACAGGAGCTGCAAGAAAAAGTTACAGAAATCAGAACTATTCACTATAGAGAAAGATGTAAAAATGTATACATATCGTATAATAGGATATTATTGGAAATTCAATGGGACAATTTATCACATTCACCAAATTAGACATTAGAATACTATACTTGCCAAATTTGTCTACCCACTGCTGATTCTCTCCCCTTTCTTTCCACAACTTTCCAATGTATAATGTATTTTACCTTCTACCCCACCATATCCCCCAGATTTGAAGAGATAATTCTTGTTTTCCTCCATTTTCACAGCATAAAACTGCAAGTTTGAAGCACATCAGAACAAACAACTATGTTAAATATTTTAAAATGTTAAAATATTGTTACAACCCAAAGAAGTAACTAAGAATGCAAGAAAATTTTTTTCAAAGGCTGAAGGTGGTTTACAGAAGATTGTCCCAGCAACCACACAATTTCCTGGTTTTATGAACTTTAGTATGCCAAAGCAGGATCCTTGAATTGACTGTTTTCCCTCAATCCTTGAAACTGGAGGATCTTAGCTGTCTTATCACTGATATCAATATACAGTTGTCCCTCAGTATACATGAGAAATTGGTTTCAAGACTCCCATGGATGTTCAAATCCTTTATATAATATGGCACAGTAATTGCATATAACCAACACACAGCATACAGATTTCTTACAATCATCTCTAGGTTGCTTACAATACTTAATACAATATAAATGCTATGTAACAGTTGTTATACTGTTCGTTTAGGGATTAAGGACAAGAAAAAAAAAGACTTCATGTTCAGTACAGATGCAATTTTTTCTTAATAATTTTGATCTATATTTGGTTGAATCAACAAATACAGAATACATGGTTATAGAAAGTCACTATATGTGGTTTACAACCCAGTTTCTCATCTTTTGCCTCATACCTTCCTATTTCTAAACCCAACTCCTGGTTTATGATCAGCTCTCCTCTTCTTTCAAACTCTTCTTTTTGTGTTTGCCTAGTCTGTTTCCTTTCATTTCTCCTCCTTCCTTGATTTTCATATGACATTTCATAAATATTACCAGAAAGATCTCTGCTTTCCTTCTAGTCAAGAAACTGACCAAACACCTTGTATCAATCATATTCTCCAGATCTTCCACTCCTCTAATCTTTTACCAATTTCCAAAGGGCTCATTCTTTGCCTCCACACATATTAAAAAAAAAAAAAAATTTCTAGATTTGGCAAGGTTCCCAATGCTAGAATTGGTTGGAAATCTAATCTATATATAATTTAAAATGTTTTTGTCCTTCTTCCACAAAACTGTGTAGTTACTAAGGACAGTGATTTTTATCTTAATTTAGCCAGCATTCTCCATAACACCTAGAACACACTATGCACAAAACAAGGGTTACTGAATGATTGAAATTACAAGGTGAATTATGACTTTCTATGATTTGCATATGGTGGTGTAAAATAAGGCTTTGGGACAAGAGTTATTTTATTGAACTATAAAGTACGACTTAAGATGACATTTAAATATGGCAATTTTAATCGTGACTTCTCATATACTGCTTTCAATAGAGTACATTCTACTAAACCTGCAAGATATAACACAGTAAATGTCTTCCTCACTCATAAGATCCCTAAGGAACAAAATGTAGTGAATATGTACCTAAATGTGTGTATTATACAAGTGTCTAATATCATTCCAAAGTCAGACCCCCAAATTACTGGGTCATCAGTAAATTTTAAATTTTTAAAATTTTCAGACTGTCTCATCAGTACAGATAGTTGAGAATTATTTAGAATTCCATATTCTGGTCTCACATGATATGGAAATGGTCATATTCAAAGGCCTAAGAACAACAGACACAACTATTCAATAGGTATTCCACATTCAACATTGAGCAGTGTCCATGTTTTGCTCAAGACAGCTAGTCAAAGCACCCATGTGTTGACTCTCATCTCCAACTCAGTTGTCTCTATCATTTTTATTTTTCAATGAAAAATAAAGTATTTTCCTTAATATTAAAATAGCTCATTGGTAGCATCTCTAAATGGAACTTCTTTTCCAAACTATTTTGAATATATGAATACAAAATTATGTTCTTTGTGTTACTTCAAAGTTATTATCAGAACTCAGCAAGGATTTCCATAGACAACGATTAAAAATGTATAATGACTACCTTCTAGTCCACCTTAATTGTCCCTCATAAATTTCCCCAATGACACAGGCTCTCATCTCTAAAACACACTCAGAACCAATTATAATTCCTATTTCCTAAATGTGCTGCTTCTTCATAAATGGGGTTGGAGTGAGGCAAGAGAAGTGGCTGAAGTACAAAATGTAAGGAAGCACTCTCAGGATCCTACAGCACCACCCTACAGATGCATTGCCCTGAAAGTAGGTAGACCTGTGTTATTTTTTTACCCCCAAAAAATGTATCTCCCTTTTTTTTTTTTTTTTTGGTAACAACATTTTGGTGTTCTTTTTTTAAACTATTATTCTTTATCCTCTATCCAGGTGCTCAGGATGACACTAATCACTTGCACTCTAAAGTTCCTATAGTAGGCACATGGCATGGGTCTGAAAAATCAGCAAGTAGTAGTTCAGGAATGGGTACATGACCCAAACTGCACAAATGAAACTGAATCCCAACTTTTTTTTTTTTTTTCATTGCTGGGAATAGAACCCAGAGTCACACACATGCCAGGCAAGCTCTCTACCACTAAGCTACTTCTCCAGTTTGCTCCCTCCCAATTATTTTTGTAGAAATTCATCAGGAAGGAACATTCACTTTCAACAGAAGTTGCTAAGATGAAAGAACATAAGTACCTATTCGAAAGTGGGCCAACCCAAAGAAAGAACCAAGTGATAAAAAGAGAAATAGATAAAATTCTGAAACATTTTGCTACTAAATCTGAGTTCAAATATGAATAGACATAGTTGCTGAAATTTAGAATTAATGCTTAGAAATTATTCTTCCTAGATTTTTCATGTTCCTGCATAGTCAAGGACACCTGAACTAAGGGTAGTATAAGGATATTTCATAATAGACAAGTTTGGATGCTAGACACCATGTTTTTCTAAAAGTAGAGATCACTTTGGAGATCTCTTTGGAGAGTTTTATCTTTATTGGAGAAATAAAGCCCTGGAGATATTCACTTATATCTTAGGATAATAAACCTAAAGAAACCTTCCTCCTCTTTCACGAGGCAACTGCTAAAAAAGTAATCATCCTCCCTCTGCAGAAAAAGATGGCAAATGTGCCAACAGCCTATATAGGCCTAGAGTCTCCTGATTCCAAGACTCCTCTCTGTGATGCAAATCCACTGCATGGCAAATATCTGGCTTTCATCACAGCAGCCTATCAGAGGGATGGGAACATATACAACCAGCACTAAGGAATTGGCCACTGCTTTTGATATATTAAACCCCAAGTCTTGAGTTGGGACTTTTCTGTTAGTATATGAAAGAAAAACTCAGGCCGGATAACTTCTTAGGTTATAAGCAAAGTAGCCTCAATACTTTCAGAGTTCTAGACTTAATAGATGAGACAATAATTTTTTTCTTACTTATTCAGTCAACAAATTCTAATTGAAATACTACTTAGCGATATGCCATGCAATTTCCTAGACAAAGAAGACAGACAAAAATCCCTGCCTCTGTGGAGATCATATTTTAGAAAGAAGAAACCCAATACAAAATAAATCTGTAAAATACACAGTGTTGGGTGGTGAAAAACACTATCAAGAAAGAGAAAAACAGGAAAAAGTAATGAGAAGCATGTGGGAAGTAGGAGATTTCAAATTTACATTGAGTGAAAATGTTACAAATAAAGTGATTTCCTATAAAGACCTGAGGATATAAGGAAGTGAGTTATATGGGGAGGAAGAAGAACATTCCTAGGAAAGAGTAAGTACAAAGTAGCTATATAAGGGCAGCAAGGAGGACTTTGTGCAGTGAGTGGTGGTAAGACTAGTAAACTCTGAATAAAGTTCCTGCACTTTAAGGAGGGAGAGCAGGACTACAAAATTGTCTCCCATTTTAAGGGCTTGAACTTTTACTCTGAATTACATGGGGAGCCACCACAAATTTCTTAACAAAAAAGTGATAGGATCTCCTATTTTTCAAAAAGATGACAGGTACTTTTTGAGAGCAACAGTCCTAGAAGTGAGTGTTATTAGGAATTATGTAGGAGGAGAAAGATGGTGTTGAGCCAGGATGACTGAAGTAGAGATGGGGAGAACTAGTCAAATTTTTTTAAGCAATATGTGGAAATATGGTATGATAGAAGTGATAGAAAAAGAATCAAGAATAAATTTCAAGGTTCCAAGCTTAAGCAAAAACAGAATGGAGTTACCACTTACAGAGATGGGAAAGGCTGATTTTTTAAACCATGTTCCTATCATTTGTTTGGGGTTCCAAAAGAAGCCTGACAAATGTAAAGCTTATGTCAGAAATCTGGTAATACAGTGGCAGCCATAGCATATGGAACTAAGTCAATGATAGAAAATGAAGAGAACTTGGTATTTTTCTATTTTAAAGTAAGAAATCAACAACCTTTAATATGCAAAACAGCTGGTAAGTTACTGATCTTATAAATCAAACTATAGGTCTACTAAGGAAGAGATTGTAAGGTACATAGTAAAAGATGTAGGGAAGCTGGTATACTAGCTACTATGTTTCAATCTTTAGCAAATTCCTTCAAGAAAGAAGTACATTAAGCCTGGATGGGGTGGTGCAGACCTGAACCCTCCATTCTGGAGATTGAGGCAGAATGATGGTAATAAGTCCAACCTGAGCAATTTAGTGAGACTCTATCTCAAAATAAGAAATATAAAGGGCCAGGGATGTAGCTCAAGCAGTAGAGCATCTCTGGGTTCAATCCCCAGTAGAGAAAGGAAGGAAGGAAGGAAGGAAGGAAGGGAGGGAGGGAGGGAGGAATCGACAATTATTAGAGTAAAGCCATACACATCCAAGATGGCTGACAATCTTGTAATTTATAGAATGAAAATTGAATATCCCTAA